TTGGGGACTTGGTCCAAATACTCGGCGAGTCCAGTATTTTTCCGAGCCTCGAATACTTTGGACGCCTCTGAGTCGGCTGTTTCCTTCGCTGCCTTCATTTTAGCCAACTCAGCCTCCAGTTTAGAGACCGCCTTCTGGGCCAATTTGAGCGCATCTTTGCTCGCGTCCGCCTCCTTCTCGGCATCCGATCTCAATTGATCCGCGCTACGAGCCCTCTCCACCTTGGCCTCGGCCTCGGCCCGTGAGGCTTCCTTGTTCGCCCTCAAAACTTCGACCTCGGCCATTCTCCTCTGGCCCTCAACTTTCTTTTGTAAACGACCAATCTGTTTAACGGCGTCGCGATAGCGACGGCCCATATCGGCTATCCTTCTAACGGTCTGCAAAACAAGAATTTAAAACCATAACTTCAACAGTATTTGGATTAAGTGAAGCAAAGTCCGAATATATACCAAAAGTGACGATTAGGCGGCTAGTGCTGTCGCATTCAGATCTGGTTCCACCCGAAAAGCCTCCCCGTCAGACGGCAACGACACGAACGTAGCTAAGCTGAATGCGACTTCTGGATCTTTAAGCGCCGAAGCATCAGAAGAAACCGGCATGTTTTTTATCATCGGCTGAATGACAGAAGGAACGATCATATTCGATCCCTCTAATCGAGGACGTTTGCTGCCTTGTTCTTCTAAGCCGGCCTCAAACTCGGCAGGGCGTTTCTCTGCCTCTTCCTCAACTTCTTGGCTGGCCTGCACGATCAAAGTAGATTCGGCATTCACATTTTTTGTCGTCTCCACCTCAATAACGCGCAAGGACTCTGATTCGCTAACAGGTAGGGAGAGTTGAGATTCAGTGGCGGGTGGTACTTCAGACGGAAGGGCCTCCGCTCTTCGCCACGCGGCCAACCTTTCCGCATTCGCCTTCCTGGCAAGTTTTGTCAGGCTTAACCCGACCATGTCTTCGGGGCCTGCGGCGAGAAGATCCTCTAAGCTGTGAAAAACGCCATCAAGTGAAAGATCCCCTCGGCCCGAAGTGGATGGAGGATCGGCCGAATTCAATACCTCGTCAGACTCAGTTTCGTACTGATCTGATTCGGTAACATTAGCTACATCCCGCTCCGAATCAGACCCTTCAAAACCAACCTGCCTCAAGTTTTTGAAGTCGGACAAAATAAGAGCGATAAGAGAATCTTCACCCTCCGGAACCGAGATATTTTTCGCCGCCGAGAAGGTCGTATATGTCGGCTCATAACGAAGCAGAACGTGGGCCACCCTTCCTTGTTTCTGAAGACTTCGACGGCCGAAATACTTGAGCACGACTTTGATATCTGAAAGAACGACATCGTCAGTCGAAGATAGGACTTTCTTCAAATTGTTCCCTGCACAAGCCAAGCTGTAACATTTCAAAGAAGAGGCTTTATAACAAAAATGAACAAATAATAAAAGCGAGAAGGCAATCGGCCACCTGGCTCGCCCCTCCGTCTAGGAATAGGGTTGACGTGATCCTCCTCTTCGCCAAATTCCCAATTACCCTAGACAACGACCATAACATCATCAACTCGTTTCCCAGAACTGGAAAGCATAGTAATTAGCTGATGATCGATATCCTTGGCCCTAAGGAAGAAACGCCCGTGCCGACCAGAAGACTTAACCAAGGCATAGCAATGTCGGATGGCTGGAATGCCAAGGTTAATTCTAAGGCGACGATTGAGCGCCATAACCCTCATTATAATTCTAAAGAAATTCACATTGAATTGGGAAAGGATTAAACCCCAATGGCGAAGCACAGCCCTAAGAAACGGGTGAAGGGGAAAACAGACTCCACCCTCTGCGATTGACAAAAGAGGAAAGACAATCATGGTTTTGTCCTCCCTCTCCATATCAAGAGTGTCGTTTGCCACAAACGACAGACAAACATCATCAAGAATGGAGAAATGGCGTTTAAAGCCAGCAATTTGATCTGACGAGAGAAGGTCTTTTAAATGTTTCGTCATACCTTACAGTTTATAAGAATATGCCAAGGAAGGAATAAACCAGAAAGAGTTTTCGAAGCAAGGAAGGAGAGAACTTACAAAGGACGAAGAAGATATCGGAGAAGAAAGTTGCAGGGACGATTCAAAAGGCAATCCAATGACGAGCGTCATAAAATACATATTCGAAAGGACGTCAAAATTTTAAATCGCAATAAATAGACACGTACGAGAGGGCGGGAAGTCGACACGACAACCGAAATGGATGCGCTTAGATATCCTCATGAGGATGAGGCCAACCGTCGAATTTTGGCTCTGGCTTTTCGAAATTCGGAACCAAGCACTCCAGCCACCTGTCGTTGGTAAAGTGCTTGGGGGGCAATTGTCGGAGCTGAATAAATAGAAGAGTCGAAAGATGCGTACCCCAGAAATCAGATATTATTCGGCTCCATATTGCGTGACTAGGATGCCGAATACGTTAGGAAGGCCGAATAGCCGGAGATCAATAACTCCGAATAAATAAAAGGGGAATGGGATAAAAGTAGGCTTAGGCCCCGAGGCTCAGAAAGTAAGTATAAATACAAGAACCACAGATTTAGAAAGGTATGTAACAATCACTTTTTGCTTAATTTAGTAAACAAGCTATTTTGAGTACAAGAACTGACTTGTTCGTCGGAGTGCGAATTCCGGCACCCCGACCAGAGTGTTTGTGTCTTTTCAAGTGATTAGCTGAGGATCACTAGCGTCTCCCAGAATCTGAAGAGTATTTCCAAAACCACTTCTCCACAGTAATTCATCACTAATGTCCAATTTTAGGAAAATGCTAGAGGTCCCAAATTTTCTACCAAATAAATGACCAAATGTCTCACATGGGTGTGGGGCCCACAAAATTGCGGACCCCACACCCATGTGAGACATTTGGTCATTTGTTTGGTAGAAAATTTGGTGTCCCTAGCATTACCCCCAATTTTATTGCTAAAGATAAAATAATAACACTTTTGATAATAAAAATATTTTCTTTAAAAAGTATTTTTGTCTCCAATTTTTGGGTCTCTAAAACCTTAATTATAAAAAAAAAAAATTATAATAATTTGGATCCCAATATGATATCTATTTTTTTTACCGTTGAATTTATTTTTCAAAAAACTTTTAGTAATCATGATCGGTGGTTGCTAATGTGGCAAAACAAAATCTTCTATCAAATTTAATACAAGATTTAACTTTGTAAAATCTTAACTCAAGCTTTGTCACACCATTGGAGGTGTTCTAATAATCTCCTCAAGCTAAATTGGAATGACATTTTGGCCCAAGCAAGCATCCTAATTACTTCCCAAAATTTGCCAAACATTGATATTTAATAGGTAACTGAGAGTGGGAATTGATCTCCTTCGCAAATTTTTCATTTTTGTTCCGAACTTCGGGTACATACCGAACAACAGTGTTACTAACTACACACATAGACACAGACAGTGTCGGGGAATTTTATGTCATTTATTTATGTGTTATTAATAGTGTTTTTGCTTACTCAATATATATATATATATATATATATATATTTTTACGTGTAATAAATTAGATATAATTTTATCACATAGGATGGTTTTTTTAATTCTATGATTGAATTTTACATATTTGGCATTTTTTTTATTCTCAATCATGTTTTGAAAAAATTATAATAAAACACTAACACACTTAAACCACAATAAATGAGGGTGCATTGAACCAAAAACGTATTAGTGACAAGAAAAATGCTTCGGACCCCAGTGGGGGTCGATCCCTAGTGAGATGGCGCGCCGTGATTAGACAAAAAAAAAAAACTATTTTATTTATTTATTTTTTTTTTTGAGTTTCAGCCAGTGAAGGCTCGCCACCTCACTGGGGGTGCGACCCTCATTGGGAGTCTACAGCACAGTTGTTAGTGACAATGTGTTTTAAAGAATATAAGCCTTGGTGGTGCAGTGTCTAGTTTGGCAAAGTTTTGGGAGGAAAAAAACAAAGAAAGGTTAGTTATTATTTGGTCATTAGTTAGTACAAAGAGAAGATAATTTTGCAAATTATTTTTTTTTTTCCAAAAAATACTTAGATTGCAATTTCATTTAAGAGTGCTTTTCAATAACATAAGTTAATGTCAAAATATTCTAAAAATGCAACAAACATTTTCTGAACATAATTTGTATTAAAAAATAAACTTTTTTTGATCATCTTGGTTACTTATGATTAATGTAAGGACAATTCTATTCTACATAAATTCACCCAAACAAAGGTTTCTTGACGTGACTCAAGGCATATCATAGAGTCTTGTGTCCGATGATAGAGCCCACCTCTAACTCATCTTCATAATTCAAATTGTTGGGTTTATAAGACTCTAGAAACGGGAAAAAAAATTATTTATGAATTTTTTATTTATTTATCAATAATAACATAGTCAAATTATATTTGGCTTAAACTAAATGGATTACTTAAAAAATTATATTTACTATCCATAACACGGTGAAAAATGCTGAGATTGTTAGTAAATGTGGGAAGATGGTAGACTATTCCTGAAATATAACGTGTTCGTACTCTTAACCAATCGTAATTTATTTTATCCCTTATATTTTACAATCACCCAACACAATACCCCACTTACCTACCTTTTCCATCAATCACAATATTATGAAATATCATAGGTATATATTCCGAGATTACTGAATAATTACTCATAAATATGTTAGTATCGCTAGCATTGTTGTTATATGGCTAATTTAATAAACTTGGGTCTCATTTTGAAAAACACAATTTTAGTCAAAAAAAAAAAAAAAAATCACTAAAAGAAAAAAAAAGTTTCAACTTATAAAAAAAATAAAAAAATCAAAGATTAAATTTTTATTCTCTATTTTTTGACTTTTTTTCCGAAGAGTCCAATTTTTTTTTTTCCAATATCTTAATTTATTTATATTTTAACCCAAAAAAAAAAAAAATTAAAAGCCACTTCACTAAAATGGATTTCTGACGAGTCCCGCCTTCATATATGTACAACTCGAATTTTCCCAGAATAGTGCACAAACCAAACAAGCCGCTGTACATGCATAACCACACATAAGTCGACCCGGATTCTCCCAACTCCGAAAATCTCTCTCCACCACCCTACGATTTCGTCATCTCCTGCTCCTCCCACCCCATATCTTCTCCACCCTTCCTATCTCTCTCACCATTTTATATACTCTCTCTCTCTCTCTCTCTCTCTCTCCTCTCTCCTCTCTCCCGCCCTTACTTTTTATCTTTCCCTTGCCAAAATCTCTCCCCTATTATTATATCTCTCACACCACACTACTCTCTCCTCCTCATATCCGCAAGCTCTCGGCAATTTCTTCACTTGCGTTTCGGTTCATTCCCTCATTGTCGTGCCTTTAATTAGACAACACAATTAATCCAACATCGTTTTGGGGTTGTCTTGTCTGTGAATGTGAAGATTGATATAAGGGACATAATTTCAGAGCCGGAACGATGTTCACCGAGACGAACAGCTTGCCTTCTAAAATAGGCAATGCTATGCATTCCGATCCAAATATTTCGTCCACGGTTAACGATGAAGAATACGCCGTTCGTAACAGCAGCTTCTCGTCCTTCGACCCAAGCCGGATGAGCGGCGAGGGCTCTCCCATGATGATGTCTCCCTGGAACCAAACAACCCCTTTCACCAAATCACAATGGTCTAACATTGAAGACAGTATTCCTCAAAAACTCCCCCAAAATGGCCTAATTGGGTCGCTTGTCCGCGAAGAAGGCCATATTTATTCTCTCGCCGCCACGGGTGATCTGTTGTATACCGGGTCGGACAGCAAGAACATTCGGGTCTGGAAGAACTTGAAGGAATATTCTGCGTTCAAATCCAACAGTGGGTTGGTCAAAGCGATTATTATCTCTGGTGAGAAGATATTCACGGGTCATCAGGACGGCAAGGTTCGGGTCTGGAAAGTACACCCGAAAACCCCCGGAATCCATAAGCGGGCCGGAACAATGCCTACTTTCATGGACATATTCAAATGCTCCATCAAACCCAGCAATTATGTCGAGGTTAAGCGTAAGCGAATCCACTCTCTGGATCAAGCACTGCGACGCTATTTCATGCCTCAGCATGAATGAAGAACATGGTCTGCTGTATTCGGCCTCATGGGACCGATCCTTCAAGGTTTGGCGGATCCAGAATTCCAAGTGTCTCGAGTCGGTTAAGGCCCACGACGACGCAGTCAACTCCGTCGTCTCCACCGCCGGCGGGATGGTTTTCACCGGCTCCGCTGACGGCACCGTCAAGGTGTGGCGGCGGGAGATGCAAGGGAAGGTGACCAAGCATACCCTGCTTGACACCCTATTGAAACAAGAGTGCGCTGTCACGGCCCTTGCTGTTGGTGGGTCGGGTTCGGTTGTTTATTGCGGGTCGTCGGACGGGTTGGTGAATTTCTGGGAACGTGAGAAGGAGTTGTCTCATGGTGGGGTCCTCAAAGGGCACAAGCTGGCGGTTCTGTGTCTTGAGGCTGCAGGGAATCTGGTGTTCACCGGATCAGCGGATAAAAACATCTGTGTGTGGAGGAGGGAGGGGAATATTCACACGTGTCTCTCCGTGTTGAGCGGTCACACTGGGCCGGTGAAATGCCTGGCAGTGGAGCATGATAAGGAATCAACGGCTGGGGATCAAAAATGGGTTGTGTACAGTGGCAGTCTTGATAAGTCCGTGAAGGTGTGGAGCGTGTCCCAGCAAGCGCCTGATCTTCATCAAGCGGCTATGATGCAACAAAACCAGGGTTCTTCAGATGGGGATGTTTCTTGGGATTCTATTCCATCGGCAAAGTACTGAAACTCCTGTGACCGTAACTAATGTTATGAACACAACAATTAATTACAAAAATAACTATCGAATAAATAAAAAATAATTTATAAATGTTTATAGATGTCAAAATTTTATTGTAAATATTCGATGGTTAATTCTGTGATTTGTTTTGCGATCTTAACATTGGTTTTTTAGCTTGAAATGATTTATTTTACCTTTCAACATGTCTTGGTAAGTGCCACATGTACTCTTGGCCAAGCTTGTTTGCGATGATTTTGGTAATGGTGACCAAGCTTGAAGAACAGGGGACATTGTTGTTTTATGTTATTATGAGCTTGGATATTATTGTTTATTTAGGAAAAAGTATTGGAAGAAGATATGATTTTTTTTTTAATTTTTTTTTTTGGGTTCCTTCAAGTGTAGTTAATATAACATTGTTTGTTTTTGTTTACTATCGTTGACAATTGTGCTGCATTTTGCCGAATATTCTTCAGGGTAAGATTTGCTGACCTAACTCGTAATCTGATTGTTTGTTTAAACATAAATTCATCTAATAAAAATTTTACAGAAAAAGGAGAAAAACAAATCTCACAACTTATTTAAATAAATAACCTCAAATTTTTTTTCATACCAAACATATCTCTAATTCATATTAAATTTTTTAAATTAAAATTTTTAATAACTATAATCATAAAAATGAATTTATATATGATATGAAATGGGTTAGCTTTTTGAGTAACTTTTTGACTTTTTGGCTTTTTTGGATCTTCCCAAACTTGGCCTTAATCTGATTGTTTGTCTAAATATAAATTCATCTAAAAAAAGTTTTACAGAAAAAGGAGAAAAAAAAATCTCACAACTTATTTAAATAAATAACTTCAAATTTTTTTTCATACCAAACATATCTCTAAGGGAAATTTGGCTATAAACTCCCTTTACCTTCCTTTCATTGTTAAAAGGACTAAGAAAAAAATTAAATTTTCCCTTAAAACATATAAATAGTGAATTAAAATTTTACTCTGAAATATATAGTGAAGATGACTTAATAGGAGAGCTGATAGATATGAGGGTAATATAATAAAAGAAACAAGTTTTAAAATATTAGGGAGTTTTGAAAGTACTTATATAATTCTTGTCCTTTTGAAAGACAAATTAGATAGTGAGGGGGCTATCACCAAATCCCCCTATCTTTAATTCATATTAATTTTTTTAAATTAAAATTTTTAATAACTATAATCATAAAAATGAATTTATATATGATATGAAATGTGTAAATGTTTGTTATAGTTGGACACGGAGTGATCTACAATTATTTTGGGAGGAAGAAATGGGAGGTACTACTATATACAGACTGCCGGATGCATAAGATATTATTATTTATTTTTTTTTTGTTTTTGTGAGGTAAGTAATATGCAATTGTGTGGTTAAATTCCCAACTTGTGATATGTTAGGTGAGGTTAATAACAAGTTTATAGTATTTAAGGACACAAAAATTATTTGTAGATCAAGTCGTTTAATATTTTGCAGCTTTTTTTATGACCCAAAGGTCTTTATCAAAGTCGAGTGGCTCATTAGCTCGATTGTGTATGTAGGACTAAATTACTAGTGTTGGGCTTCTAAGCTCACGCTAAGACGAATGTTTGAAGTCAAATTATTTTTTGAGTCAAGTTTGAAAAAATAGCTTAAATCTGATGAGGCCCAAGTTAAAATAACATATGGTACTAGATAAAAACTTTGTTTGCATGGAATAAAAATACTTTACTCTTAAACATGTTGAAGTTATTGGAAGAATTGAACTTTTATCTCTTAAAAATAAAATAAAAGATTATGTGCCTTCTTTTTCTATGAAAATTATTTACTTCAATTTTAGCTAAGCGTGGTCCAAACAATAAATCTCATGGCATGACTTGAAATGAAGAGTAATGATCCGATATCAAGACGAGCCAGAATCAAGCTGTTGGACCATTTTATTTATTTATTTATTTATATATTTTATTTATGAATTTTCTTTTATCTTGTTCATGAATCTCATCTTATTCATTAATGGAGATTCATTATTTTGGTGACATTTTTTCTTGTTCATGAATGAAAATTAATTAGAATTCATGAATTTGGTGGTGAGTTAACATTTGTACACTCTCCATTTTCTCTTGGTTTATGGTCATTATTACTTTTTGGTATATTTTGTAAAGTCCTAGTGGCCTATAAATAGTTCCTCACATCTACTCTTTTCAATAACAACACCAACTATTGTTTATACAAGAGAGATTACTAGCAAAGAATGGTGTTTTTCTTGGTGGAGCTTTGTGTTCACCATCGTATGCAGAGTTGGCCAGAACCATACGACAAGTGGTCGGACTGTTGTATCCTAGAGGGGACAAGTCATAATTTTGTGGCTGTTGCATCGATATTTGGGTTCTTTCTACCGCAGTGGGCTTGATCTCCTTAAAGAAAACGAGATATCCGTTCATCAACCTGATTTATTTGTATCTCATTTTCTTTACATTATTTATCAATAAAATATAATTTTTCTGGTATTTTCACCAATAATTTTAAAGAGAATTAACCATGGTACAAGTACCAAAAAAAACCAATAATGAAATTGGAGATCTCAACAAGCCTTTCAAGTTTAAGGGAGTTCATTTTAAGATGTGGAAAGCAAAAATTCTTTTTTACCTAAGCCTTTTAAAAGTTACTTATGTTCTTACCGAGAAGAACACAAACAAAATCCGAACCGAGGAGATGAATGATGAAGACTATGAGGCACATGAAACAAAAGTGGCATCCTATAATACAGATGCGTATAAATGTGCTTTTATCTCTTAAATTTCATTGCTGATTAATTTTATGATTATTACTATGATACCACTTACACTTTGTCTTCTATTAATTTTTGGCATACTTGCTTGTATCATATTAACAGTAAATATATAGGAATCATAGGTAGTTTAGGATTAATTCCTAAGGTGACAAAAATTTTGAGAAATGTGAAGTTTGCAGTAAAGCAAAAATTACCAAAAGGCCCGTTAAAAGTGTTGAAAAAAAATACCGAATTTCTAGAATTATTTCATACTGATTTGTGTGAGTTTGAAGGAATTTTAACTTAAGGTGGTAGTTAATATTTTATCGCTTTTATTAATGATTTTTCAAAATACACAAATGTATATTTATTAAAAAATAAAAGTGATGCTTTTGAGAAAATTAAAGAATTCATTCTTGAAGTAGAAAATCAATTCGGTAAAAAGATTAAGAGAATTAGAAGTGATAGAGGCCAGGAGTATGAATCTCTTGAATTTAACTCTTTTGTTTAGTCATTGAGAATTATTCATGAGACTACTCCACTGTATTCACCTTCATCTAATGGCGTAACTGAAAGAAAAAATAGAACGTTAATTTACTTGACGAATGTTACGCGTATTGATTTAGGTGCTCCCTCAAATCTTTGGGGCGATGCTATTTTGACAGCTTGTCATGTGATAAATAGAGTGCCACACAAAAAGACAAATTGTACCTTATGAGTTGTGGCGGGGGCATAAACCAAATCTAGGTTATTTGAGGGTTTAGGGTTGTTTAGCTTTTGTAAGGCTTGCAAATCCTAAATGACCTAAATTGGGTGAACGAGCTACCACCTGTACTTTTCTTAAGTATGCGTTGCACAGTACAACCTACATATTTTTTGATATGGAAAATAATATTATTTTTGAATCAGGTGATGCTATCTTTCATGAGAATAAATTTTCTTTCAAATCTAGAAATAATGGAGGTTAAATAATTTCTGAAAATATTTTATCCGTGCCTAGCTGTTCTACTCCATCTTAAGTTTTTCTAGAACAAGAAAATTCTCAAATCCAACCAAGGAGGAGAAAACAAGCTACAGTTGAAAACCATTTTGGCCCTGACTATGATCTTTACAATGTGGAAGAAATTTCTTTTACGGTACAAGAAATTTTATCATCACCTGATGCTATTTTCTGGAGAGAGACTGTAAATGATGAGATAGATTCACTACTTTCAAATAAAATATGGAAGCTGGTGGATTTACCTCTAGGTTGTAAAACTATTGTGTGTAAATTGGTCCTTCGTAAAAAACTTAAACCGGATGGAACTATAGATAAATATAAAGCGAGGCTTGTCGCTAAAGGTTTTAAGCAACCAGTTGATCTTGATTTCTTTGATACTTTTCCTCTAGTTACTAGAGTTACATCCATTAGACTGTTGATAGCAATGGCTGCAATTCATGATTTAAAAATTCATCAAATTGATGTAAAAACGACATTTTTAAATGGAGATCTAGATGAAGAGATTTACATGGACCACCCGAGGGCTTTGTGGAGCCTGGCCAAGAAAATGAGGTGTGTAAGCTAACTAAATCCTTTTATGGTTTAAAACAAGCTCCTAAACAGTGGCATGAGAAATTTATTCCCGCATGCTTAAGAATGGCTATAAGACTAATGAATGTGATAAATGCATATATTATAAAACTTGTGAGAATGCACATGTGATTATTAGCCTATATATGGATGATCTACTTATCTTTGACTCTAATTTTCATATTACAAATGAGACTAAAAATATACTTAATAGCCACTTTGATATGAAAGATCTTGGTAAAGCCAATTTTATTTTGGGAATTAAAATTACCAAGACTAAGGATGGCTTTTTTCTTGATTAGTCACATTATGTTGAGAAAATTTTAAAGAAATATAAATTTCTAGACTGTAAACATGTTGCTACTCTTTTTGATGCAAGCATACATTTATTTGTTGTAACAAATGAAAAAGAAGTGATTAATAAAAAGGAATATGCTAACATGATTGGTAGTTTGAGATATGCTACTGACTGTACTAAACCTGACATTGCATACACTGTTGGAGTACTTAGCATGTTCACTAGCAAGCCAAGTTGAGATCAATGGCTAGCCATGGGAAAAATTATGAGATATTTATCTGGTACCAAAAATTATGATTTTTTTATAACAAGTATCCTGTGGTACTTGAGGGATATAGTGATGCCGATTAGAACACTTTGTCAGGTGATTCTCTCTCTACCTCCGATTTTATTTTTTCCTTGGATAGTGGTGCTATATGTTGGAAGTCTAAAAAACATACTATAATTGCTAATTCTACTATGGAAATGGAGCTTATAACGTTAGCTTCAGCATGTGAGGAAGCGAATTGGTTGAGAGATTTTTTACATGAAATCCCTTTTTGGGAAAAATCAATTCCTCCTGTGTTAATTCATTGTGATAGCACTGCTACTATTGGTAGAGTGAACAATCATTTTTAATGGTAAATCCAGACATATTCGAAGGAAACACAGTAATGTGAGATCTTATTTGAGTAATGGTATTATAATTGTGAATTATGTAAAATCTTGT